GTGTGGGGAAAAAATAAATAAAAACCACGTGGCGGCGAGGAAAGACACACGACAGGGTTCACACGATGACAACGGAGGCGTCAAAACCACATGACCGGAACGATGTTTGAAGGTTTGAGCGATTCTGATTTTTTTTTAAAAAGACGTAAGAGCGGAACATGCAAAGGGAGTAACGCTGAAAAGAAACATTATGCCATTAGGCTGTGAGGAATAACTCCGAGGACACGCAGAACAATGACGTGCAGACTTGTTTGCATTTTGTCTTGGGGCCTCCCGCTGTGCGTGTGCGCTCTAATGACGGCTCGCTGCGAGGGGAGCGGCCCCAAGAGGATGTTAAGACTCTGATAAATGAGGTTCAGTCTCAAGTTCACACACTCTCAGAGCAGCAATTATGTCAAGTAGCAGTAAAGAATATTTCTGTCCCGCAGTGGAAATGGGCCCGTGTGTTCTTGACAGGTCGAAATTACTGTGGCGCTTTGTGATGATGTCACAACGTCAGGTCTCCAAATGACATACTATAGTTTACAAATACTACGGTCAGTATAATTACTGCAGTGAGAGGACTGAACAAAGACCCTGAAGACATACTGTTACTGCATGTTGTATCTGTACATGATACACACACATAGTATATTCAGTGATAAGACGCAGTAGATCTTTAGAGATAAAACTTCTAACTATGAGCCAAAGCGAGCAAATGAATTAGAAACTATTTGGATCATAAATTTGAACAATAGTCGAATGATATAATATATAAAAGTACAACTGTGACATTTTGTTTTAAAAACTACATTTTTATGATGATATCAACATATTTCAACTTCAGTAACATTTGCACGACTTACTTTTAGTAAAAAAACTGTATATTCTACAAGCGCTAGCTCGGTCACAGCTAACGTCTGTGTCAGCTGGTATTTCGGTGGTTTGGTGTAAATGTCTGAGTAGTCCCACGCTCCGAAGCCTCACTTCCTGTGTGAAACCCCCTTAAAGTCAAGAGGTTTCGGTCTCTGCTTCTGTCTCTGATCATTCTTCACTCCGACATCCTCTAGAGTGCAAAGTTAAATCCCCGTGCCACATGGGGAAAACGTGGCCTGTGACGGTTGGTAATCGAGTCCTCGTTACCACCTGAATAAATACTGTAACTTATGCAAACATGGATTAGCCGACTCCCACGACTCCCGGGTTCTGGCCGACGAGAGAGAAATGATTTCAGGAAGTTTGAGTCTGTGTGGAGTATTGTGACAGCGACAGCCCGAGAGTCTGATTGAATGGCAGCAGAGGAGCGTACATCTTTAAATTCCTCATTATCCACTAACACACGGACGCCACGTCTGCTCCTATTCCATTACTTACTCCTCCGTATTGTCATGCTCGGAGAATTCAATGTAGTGCCTTTTATTGTAGAAAATGAAAAATGTCATTTCCCCCTTCTCTCCCTCTCTCTCTCTGCTAACACTAATTTAAAATGTCTCATCTCCCTGTGCGTGTTCAACAGTCTGATTGCCTCAGAGCTGAAGAAAGAGGCCTAAGAGGAGGAATCCCCTCTCTTTGTGAAAAGGAGACCAGGTGGGAGCGGAGGAGGAGGAAAATGGAGCGGGATGATTCATGAAGAATCTGCAGCTTCATCAGAGTCGGTCAAGCAGGACAGCTGCTGCCGCTGACCTCCCGAACCGTCGGAGGGACCCACACCTTCAAGGACTAAAGGTCTCCTTATTCTTTTCCCTCCAGCAGTCGCACCACTCTCCTCCTCATTCTGTCGTTCTTTCTCTTTCTTTCTCTGTCACTTTTCCACTCTCAGCTTATTTCGACGGTGCAGGGCCAGGACTTAACCTCCCGGAGAAATAAAGTCCTTCGGGGCCGCAGAGGAGGACAATGACGAGGTGTCTCTGTGGCCCCGGGACACGGGACATGTGGCTGATGTGGACGATGTGATATTTGCAGCATTTTGTGGTGAACAGAAAAACAACTGTTGCTCTGCTCTGCTCATAATCTGCACTGATTATTATTTAGTTTTATTTACTCAACAACAAAGAGTTGGATCAATTAAATTCACGCTGGTTTACCCACGTTTTCCAAAACTACACAACCAACTGTGTTTACTTTAACAGTTTTATCTGATTTAACTATATCATGTATAAAAAAATATATAAATGAATCCATGTACATTTGTACACCCTTCAAAGATACAATACTTTTACATTTTACCGACATTTATTTATAACAATGGGAATAATCCATCAATAAAGAAAAGAGCTGCAGTCTGAGTGGATTTTTCTTTTTGTGTTCTTACGTAATATTTCTTGGTACATTATTTGCCACACATGTTTTTTACATATCTTTATTTCACGTATTATTATTGTTATTATATTTTAAAAGCACTTTTTTTTTAAACCACGTGGGTTTTTCAGAATCTCGCCCTGATGTTTGTGCCCAGGAAAATGTTTTTTAAAGATTGATTCCATTATATTATAGTTTTCAGCTTTGACATAATTGTGTTTCTGACACAAACTCTTATGATGTCAGGGCTGCTGGGTTAAAGGAAAATGTTTGAAATGAATCAGGGTGTCAGACCTGGACAAGAGTAGATCAGTTATATAGATTATATTATCATTATACTTATTATTAGATAATGGCTGTTTATCAATGACTCCACGTTGGAACTCATATTCCCTCGTCTACTCCATTCATATCAGTAAGAGTCGGATGAACAACAGAAACAACTCAGCACAATAAACTACATCCTCCAGTATTTACTGAGCCTGAATACTTTCAAGGTGGTTTTACTGCATTAGACGTGGCTGGTTGTAAATAAACTGTCAGCTGATTGTATATTCTCCACTCAGGGTCCCAAGTGAAATGTGTTTCACAGAGATTGAGATCACGGAGGTTCACATGTTTATTGAAACAAGTTAAACTGTGAAGCTCAATAGTCTGTTTCGAGTTCACTCACATATTAATCTTATATAAAATTCCTTCCTCAGACAAAGGCGGCAGCAGCAGCGGCGAGAATAAGACGCAGCTCTTTCCTGCAGTCTAGTGATGTCCACAGATAGTGTTCCACTGCCCTCCGGTGGAGAGCAACACAACTGTAGCTCCACCAGGAATTTATTTCCTCTTTAAGATCCTCAGATCCGGCTGATTCGACAGAGGGAGGTCGGTCACTTGCTCAGACACTTCTGCAAAATGGATGAACGTTGCTTTACCATCGCTGTGCTTCTCTCGTGGACACATCTGGAGCACTGGCTGACCCACTAATATACAACAATGTGCAAAAATGCAGATGTGTAGATTCTTATCCAGCAGAAAACACCGTCAGGAAGGTGTGTGAGGAAACCTCCAGCATGAAACAAACAGTCAGAGTCTTAAAGAAGTCCTGCAACCGATGGTCTGTGCCCACACAGCCCTGAGCTCACCACAGTCAGTGTGACGCTACAGCCGCCAGCCTCCACGTCACATGTTCTTCATGAAACCATGAAATAGCTTCTTTAACTTGTGGATATTAAGGGAAATGTCAATCTGAGTGTTTTGCATCTAAAGCCAACGAAACCTCTGCGAGAACAAGAGGTGACCATTTTCAGTATGAAGATTTCTACGACCACAGATTTGCCATTTTTCACGGTGTTGTAATATTTAGAGTGAAAACAAATTCAGTGTATTTTCTTTCATCAAAAACCTGAAACAAAATTAAAATGCAATCTTAACTACAATTAAATTTGTTGGATTTTTATTTAGGTGTGTACCACGAAGGATTAAACCCAGACTTCCTCTTCTAATGGACGTTAAACATGTACTTTATATATTCAAATATAAAAACTACAGGTTTTCAAATCTACATATTCAATATTTTACAAGACAAGGTGTGGAGGCTGAAGATAATACTTGTATTCAGGGATGAAAAAAGAAATCTAATTGAAAATGTGGAGCCAAAACCGGACTGCAATTCACACACGATGTCATTTTTAGGATGAATGACGGCTCCAGAATAATCCCTGTGCTCAGTGATGCATCTTGCTGAGGACCAAAGAATTCCTCCAGTGCTTCTTTATGGGTCTAATGATGACCCACGGAGCCAGCGACTCCTGGAGTCAGAGTTTATTCAGATTAAGATGTCAGGGGTCTGAGACAGAGGACAGGATCAGGAGAGTGTGTGTGTGTGTGTGTGTGTGTGTGTGTGTGTGTGTGTGTGTGTGTGTGTGTGTGTACAGTATTAGATGAGGATTTTTTTCCGGCCTGTATATTAGTGCTTAATCTGCCCTAACAAGATAGACTGCGACATGATCTGCTGCGTCACTGATGATGGGACCAGTAATGATTGAGGAGGAAAGTGAAAGGTTGTGAGCTAAGCCTGAAGTATAAGCTACTTTAACACGGAGCAACGCACGGCTGGTCACACTGCCACTGGTGTGTGTGTGTGTGTGTGTCCAGTTATTAAATCAAATGTGTGACACCAAGTAGCTTAAAGCACCAATAAGCCACAAGGCCACGTTGGGTGTAATTTGCTAAATTGAAGGATGAGAGACAAACAGATGTGTTGGACCTTCTGGCCGATGTTTCCTCAGACTGACGGACTTTAAAACAACTTTGATTATACAGAGTATATTTGATGCTGATCTATATAAAGAGTAAGTTCATTATACTTCCAGGTCTTAACAGGAGCGTGGTCGTGTACTCTGCTTTAAATCAAATGACTCAGATCACCTCCTCATTCGCCTCCAAATACACTTAACACTCATAAATATTTAATAAAATCTGCTTTTACGTCACTAAGAACTCTGAAGCCTCGTCTGGTGATATTCACCTGGAAAACATGCAACTCCTGAATTAAGTACTTTCTTTCTTAATGTAAGTTTATTTCTAAAATTAATAATTTAAAAAACAAAATAGTTTCAGATTTCATCATGTGAATCTTCTCACAAAACAAAAGTTGCAGAGAACCGTTCGACAGTCAACCTCATGTGAAACACTTCATTCAAACACAAGGACTTCGGGAACACGACGTGTAGTTTCGACATTTTAAACGCTTTATTCATCGAGTTCATTTTTACCACAACAGAAAATGTGTTGGCACACAACTGGAACATCTGTATTGTATAAAGCTGAAAAAGTACAGCGGGACTAACAAGTTGTCTGGGACGACGTTTAACAAGCCACAAAAAGAACGGACAGATGGACACGAGGCAGAATCTTCTTAAAGGTTGTATACATGACATTTTGGCCACTCATGCCCACTGAGCACGTGCAGCGCTCGGAGCTGCGGGAGCGTCCTCGGCCCTGAAATCATTTCCACCGCGTTTCACTAATTTTCCACTGTATTCAGTTTTGCTTCTGGTGGAGGGGAGGGCGGAGGTACGACACGTGCTGGTGGGAGTGCGACATCTAGTGGCAGAAAATCTCACATATATAACCTTTGACAGAAAAGTCTCAATTTGAGATGAACAAAAAAAGCAAAAGATATTAAAGCCTGTAGCAACTGATGTGAAACACACACGACAACTAACGCAGCAGCTTTAAGCTAATTTATGATATTGACTAAATACTCAATATATGTAGTCATTGATATTTAAACCGTAATTCGTCTCGTTATCTTTAAATATGATATATCAAGTAGAAATGAATGAATTTTCACTTATCATCAGCAACAGTAAAGTGATGATATCACATTTTAAGATATTATTTTCTATTATTTATTCATTGTTTTAATCTCTTCAGATGAACATTTTATCCGACAAAAACATTACAGTTTACTACAGGCCCCAAATCCACCATCATTTCACATTTTCAAATTAAATTTACTCCGTTTGCCAAAACGAACACTAACTTCACATTCAACCAACCATTTCTTTTTTTCACACTTGTATTTTGGCCTTTTCTGGGCTTTTGTTTTGAAGTTATTTTTTGGGCCCAGCTCCTTTGTGCTTCTCAAACTGTGCGATCTGATTGAAAATATCAAGGAGGTTCGTAGGGAGGGCTTTCTTTGACCTCTCCCCAGAAACACTTCTCTGTTCGTCACTTTCTGATTTTTTACTGAATCCTCCCTCTGACCTGCTCCAGTCTTCCTCCGCTCCCCCCCGTCTACGTTCCTTCTCTCTTTTCACCTCTTCTACCTCACACGTGTCCTCCCTCTCTCTGTTGTCATACCTTCTGCCATCGAAGGAGTTCCTCTTTGACCTGTTCTCCAGCTGTTTGGAAGCAGAGTTTCCAGAATATCCAGATCGGACACTGGATTTCCGTGAATACTCCGAGTCCGCTGATGAGCACGATACTTTTCGCTTCCTGTTCTCATCTAAGCTACTTCTCCTCTTGGAGTCACTGTTCCTCTGTTTATCTTCCTTCTCTCTCTCCCTGTATTTATCCTTCCTTTCACTACTTCTGCTCCCTCTATCCTTTCTGTCTGGGCTTCTGCTCACACTGCTCTTCCTTCTCCTCGTCCTGCTCTCCTTGCTGTCCCTTCTCTTGATTTCTCTACGTGAGGAGTCTGACTCTTCGTTATCTGAGGCTGCCGACAAAGAATAAAGCTGAGAGATGCTTCTTTCACCGATCTTCTCCTCTACATCCTCCTCACCCCCCTTTCCAAACCCCGGGCCTCCCTTCTGGTTGAGAAAGGTGGCGGAGGTGTTAGGAGGTGCGGGATACCACTCCACCTCATCCTCCCTCCCATTTCTCTCACTCTTACCCTCCTCACTCCCCCTGCTCCCCCTTGAGGAGATCCTACTGCGGCGTTTACTTCCACGCTCAGACTTCCTACGCTTCTTTTTCTTCTTTTTGGACCTCCTACGGGAGGAGGAGGACGATGAGGAAGCAGAGGAGTCCCTGGAGGAAGCGGAGGATGAAGACGAGGAAGACGCAGACCTCTTCCGCTTTTTCTTCATTCTGAGGGAACATAAATCCACTGATAATCTCATCCTGATCAAACACCTGGATTTTACATTACTTACACGCCTTTACCAGCATTTGAAACTACAAAATAAGTTTTAAAACATGTTATTAATGCAGCAGAATGACATCACATTAAAACTAGGTACCCGATACGCGGTGACTTGTATGTACTTGCCGAATCTTTAAAAGATTAGAACCAACTCACCTCTTCTCTTCTTTTAAGATCTTACGCAATTTCTCAGCGCTGGTCTGGCTCTTAATTTTCACCTGCTCCTTAGCCAGCGCTTCTTCTCGCAGGCGAATTGATTTCTTCACGTCGCCGAGCAAGGCATGACAATGACACACAAAGGCCCACAGAGACATATTCAAACACACACACGCACACAAACACACACCATGACCCCAAAGCACGCAACCGAGGCCCCAAAGAAACAGCATTCAGTCATTCATTCATTCATTTTGTTATTTACGTCGCAATCAGAAAGTGGAGAGGAAAAGGAAAATCAAAAGTTTAGGACAGAAGAGCGTCACAATTAAAAAACCACAGGTGACAGAAGGGAGGAATGCACACGGATTTACCAGAGAGTAAAAGTGATGCGATCCCAGGAGCGAGGGAGGGATGGACAGAGGTGCAGGCAGAGATGTGCAGAGATGTGCAGGGTATATAAACAGCATTTGTTCCCCATTGAGAGAGAGAGAGAGAGACAGAGAGAGAGAGAGACAGAGAGAGAGACAGAGAGACGGTTTCAACGTTACCGTGTTGGACCAGAGACATGGCACCACGCCCAGTGTCCAGAAGAGAAGTCGTTGTCATTGTGCAGTTATTGTTTTTTTCACCCCCCCACGAGATCGGTGACAAGGCCGTGGCAGTCAAAGGGTCAAAGGGCAGAGTTCCGGGGTTGCAGACACACAAACACCAAAACACTTCATCAGTATTACAAACAGCAGCGTCAGGAGGGTGGACATGTTTTTTTTTTTAAACACACAGAGTAAGAAGACATCGATAAAAGAAATTATATCTTTAAGGATAGAATCTGTACACAGTCAGTTTACCCCGTAAACTGTACATAAGGATAAACAACGCGTCTCCACTTCCTCCAACTTTACAGAGATGAAGCCACATCCGTTAACATGGAGGAGGTGGGGTTTATGACCCATGACGCAGCCAGCCACCAGGAGGTGATCAAGACACTTTGGCTTCACTTTCTGGGAGCCGTCATGGCGTCCATCTTTATTCACAGTCTATGGTTTTATCCCATTGTAAACGCAGTCCGACGCGATTCAGCACCATGGACAGCTCTCTCATTAGATCCTTTCACTGAATGTCTGGGCTGATAACAAATCCATACTTCTAAACAGACAGTATAACAGACAGTATAACAGACAGTATAACAGACGGTATAACAGACAGACTATGCTTTGATACAGGAAATGGATGAGCTGAATATCCAAAAAAAACCCCGCAAACAATCAGGCGACGAGAATGTTTGTTTCTTTGCTTCGACAGCGTCTTTATTTGTTTTTTATCTGTTCTACTGTATTCAAATATGAGAGTGTCACATGTCTTCTGTTGTTAGCACGTGGTACACGATGTACTAAGTGCATACCTGCAGACTTCACCAAACCCCTGGTCAAGTGTGGTGGCCCCGCTCACCTGTATCGTGTCTGTGATCTTGTGCAGGGCCTCTTGTGCCTCAGGGTTTGAGTCATCCAGAGACAACGCTCTCCGATACAGTCCCTCCGCTGTTACTAGTTTCTCCTGTTCTTCAAGCCTACACACACACACACACACACACACAACACACACAAGAGGAAAAGGTTTGATTAAGCTGGGAGAAAGTGTAGATCTGTTTCATTGCTCAAAAACTAGATGGAGAAACCATTTATTAAACAATTATTGACTTCCGGTTGTCACCACTCTGATCTGTCAGGGTCAGTACAGGAAATAAAGTACTTACTGTTTCCCTCTCTCCACCAGTGTCTGGCAGAGGTACTTCCTGGCGTTGCGGTGATCTGGACAGTTTTCCAGAGCCTGTTCAAAATCTGTAATAGCCTTCATGATGCCGCCTTTGTTAGCGTACCTGAGCAACGAGGGAAACACACAGAATGAACAAAACATGTTGACGATCTAATCACACTATTTGGAGGAAGTGTCAAAGCTGACTGACAATTTCTTATAATTTTCTTTAAAAAATCATTTTTACTTTAAACCTGCTCCTTTGATCGTAGAAACTAAGACTATCTCACAGTAAATATTAGAATACATCCAACAAACCAAACTTCTATTATCGCCAAACAGATAATTATGACATAAACGGGAGAAGATATTTGTTTCATATATTTTCCTCTAAAATAAATTCATGCATATTCCTTATCTAAGGTATTATTTGTCACTGCTGCCGACTTCATTCAGTTTCATGTGAGGTATGGAACATATTATATAAACTCACAGAGCTCCACGTGCCACCAGTGCTTCTACATTGTTGGTGTCAATCTCCAAAGCCTTGTTATATTCATTCATAGATTCCACATGTCGACCGTGTTTGAAGTGGTCCACGCCTGCACGAACACTGAAACGAAAGAAAACACGAGAGACTGAAAATAAAGGTTACATTCACATTAAGAAGCAGCCAGAGGGAGAAAAGTTAAAAGGTTAAAAAGTTCATCAGTGAGCTGCAGTCAAAATTGAAAAAATTACCACTTCAAGGCCCAGGATGCAGATTGTTTCTTCCTGATGGAAGAGGCAAAATCTTCCTCCTGGAAAAGTTTACTGTGGAGAAAAGAGACACAGATAAGAACTCTGAAGACTTTCTAATAAGTTTTCCTTTTCTTCAAGCTTAGCACTTTCTAGAAGGACTCTCAATCTGAGGACTAAAGCACGGACACATGAAAAGCACCGGGCTACAGAAACTCTCCAGACTTTCAAGTCAGTCCTCTTACTGTCACTGAAGAATTTACTAAGAGAACCGGACTGACAGATGATCTTTATTATCCCTGAGGGGGAAGTTGGGCTTAAAGAGGTTGTATTCATATTACAATTATTCGAGCCAGTCGGCATGTTTACCTCTGTAGTCCTCTCATCATTGATGGTGGGTGGATGTCGCTGATCCGCACCTTCTCCAGCAGGTAGTCCACGACAGAGGGGTTGTGGTAACCATGGCAGCGCCTCAGAATGCACTCATACGTCTCGGTGGAGTCGCTGGCTGCACGGAGGCTGCGACTGAGAGAGAACGTTCGGAGTGAGCCAACGTGAACGAGTCCCATGCTAGATCAGGAACACTGAGAACAATATCTGTGCAGAGCAATAAACGAGGACATTTTTAAATTAAATTGTGTCCCACGCTTCTTCTTTTTAACCCCGGTGAAAGATTTTACAAATTACTGACTTGGTTCTTATTTCACTGACTATTCCGGTATTTATAAACATTATTCAATCTTTTTCTTTCTCTGCTCATGTTCCTCATTCTATCTCTCTTGATATTGTTTCTTCCTTGTTAAATGAGGAATATTATAATTCATGTTACACATTGTTTGTTTCATTCTGTGTAGGCCTCTTCGGTGTTGCATATTTTCTTGTGGTTTCTCAAATCGTGTTATTGTGTTACCTGTAGTGTACGGGCAGCTCCTCTCGGGTGATGACGCCCAGTTTGAGGTGCTCCAAGCTGGGAGACAGAGACGTCTGTTGGAGGGAGATCGTGACTTTCTCCTGGTAGCGGTCAATGTCTTTCACTCCGGCTGGGGAAGAAAAAAACACCGCGCTTAGGAGGAGATGTGTTTTCAGTCGGCCATGTGAAGTAAGATAAACAGTAAATAATCACAAAATAAAGTGATGTTGTTCTACGTGTTTAATGGATGGAGCTAACACATTCTGACAAGAGCTGTGGTAAATTATCCTGGTTGACCGGTGAAGTGACTTGGAAACAAATTTGTTGTTTTGGTGATGAAATACCTTCTAAGATAACTACATGATTAAAAAATGTCTCATCCCATAACGAAAACCGTTGGAGCCAAAAGTCTTTGTTGCCTTTACCGGGGTTTTGTTTTGCTTCTTTGGGCATTAGCATTTAACACCACAAGAGGGCAGGGACACAGTAATGATGGCTCATATCCCACAATGCAGTTTTAAATAGACACTGGTGAGTAGTCTCAGTGAGAACTAAGAAACACGGTCTGGAACTAAAGCAGGATCAGCGAGAAGGAAGTCATAAAGGATTTACAAAAGGTGTGCGTGGCTATGGCTATCAGTATCGGGCCAATTAGCCACAACAGTCTTGTTAAGGATCAGAGCCTTGTGATAACTTTAGGCAACGTATGCCAACTTTATCTTTGTGTAGATCACGTGTAAAGTTACACTGACAAAGCCAAACGAGACACTAACCTCTGATGAAGTCCCCAATCTGGTAGTAGGACAGAGGATCATCATGGTTGCCGGTGGAGGGAATTTCTCTGATGTGACACAGAGCCTAAAGGCGGAGAGGAAATCGAGTTTTGTTCAAAACAAACAACAATCGTACAGAATCTAGAAAGGTCAGGGGAGCAGGAGGAGAAATGTGAGTTAGAGCATGAAATGAATAAATGGGATGTAAAAGTACCATTGATGTCAATCGTCATAAGTTTGTTTACATGAGATCTCAACCTGTGTGGTTCATTAAAAACACATTGTGGAATAGCAATGGCAGACCTGGTGTCAACATCCATCTCAGGTGACCTGAGCTGCGAGTTCAGGTGTGAATGCATGTGAGATTCTGCTCACTCCGATCACCCAGGATGTAAATTCCAGAAACCCAGAGAACCACACAGTTGGTTTTGGCAAACTAACAATTCAATTTCCTTATTTATAATGGCTGACTTATTTTATCACATTCACACCTACTGAGAGAATTGTATTAACTTTGTGGAAGCGAGGGGTGGTGACCAGATAAACTGGCTGATCCAGGATTTTTCTCTTTCTTAAATTTGATGATATAACGCGTCACCCCAAGTGGAGGAATGTGGTTATTGATGTGTGTGAAGATTTCTGACCTGAGTCATGTACACTCATGTTAGTTTAGCTTTCTGACTCACAGACAACTCTAGGTCTTCTATGTCCCTCTTCAGTCCTCCTGCCATGCACAGCAGAGTGAGAAAGAAGCCGTATTCTCTAATGTTGTTGATCCTCCCCACCACAATGTCTCCCTTTTCCAAGTCTCTGTACAGCATGGATCTTCTCTCCTCGTACGACACCTCCATGAATAGCTCCAGTGGTGGCATGATGGCATAGGGCTCTGAGTGAAGCACAGGGAGAAATACGAATCAAACAACCAGGAAGTGAGAAAACAGTGATACGATCCGTGTTTGAACGACACACGACATTTGAAGACATTACTTTGAGCTCTTCAGACATAAAACAGGTATTTTTCATAGTTTTCTGACGTATTATCGACAAAACAACATAAAGAGAAACTGATAATGAAAATGATTGTTGGTTGCAGCCCCGATGAGCAAAGAAATAGTATTAAACAGTATAAGTGACCAACGACAGCACGAGAGAGCAGAGCATTCTATTCTACATGGTGTTCTGACACATTAGTGCATATGTGGCCTGAGGCGTGAGGTCAAACCTGCAGCCTCCTCCTCCTGCTCCTCATGCTCCTCGTCTTGAGGAGTTGTGGTCTTCCATGACGGACAGAACAGGATGTCAGCCTTTCTTGCAATGAACTGCTCCACAAGGGGACTGCCCTGCTCTTCCCCCCTGCTGCACAAAAAGCAGAAACATTAATCATTTGACAAACTAATCGTTGTCTAATTCATTGCTGGTCGAAAGAAGAAGAACAGTTTTGTACAAACTTTAATAGAAACTGTTGAGTTACTGCACAATGTCTGTAATGATGTTTGGTTACAGACCTCAAAATTCCTCTACATTTTAAACCCCTAGAGAGGAACCAACAAATAATGAAAACGACTTAACAATTAGACTAGAGCTGAAATGATCAATGGATTGGTCAAGAAGTCATCACTACACGTCTGTGTACATCGATGGGAACGTGTTCTAATCTGAATGTGCACCGGGATCATTTCTAAAGAAGCTCACATATAAATGCAAGATACCTCCACAAGCTTCACATGAAATTGACAAAACATGAAAACCTTAAGAGACTGAAGGGATCTTCAAGATGCTCCTGGAACATGGGGAGCTGAAATCCAGACGTGCAGCTATGAGTCACAACTTTCTGACTTATCTTTGAGATAAAAACAAAAGTATAATAACACTAAAGGTGATGGGGGGTAACTATCTGCACAACACTAATGTGTCACAGCGCTGTGTGTCCTGCAAGTAATTAAAACAACCTTCAGAATCATTTGTCAAGTGGAAGCCTGTGAAAAGGGAAGAAGTGTCCAAACCAGTTTACTGGAGTTTTTAAAAAAACAAACCTGGCAGCTGACCTGTGACTTGAAATCAAATCACGGGATGTGGTTCGACAGAAGTCAGTCAGAAGCTGCTGAGTTGATCCAGCAGCTCTCTCTTGTAATAAACATCTGGAATGTGCTGATGTGTGTTGCGCGCACACACACACACACACACACACACACACACACAACTTTCAGACTCACCTCTCGCTCGTGACTTTGCACAGCTCGGGCACCACGGCCTGGAAGTCCGGGTTCTCTGTCTGCTCACATTTCAGTTTGTTGAACAGGGACTCGCCGTGAAACACGAGACACTGTCTCAACAGGTCTCTGTCCATCCTCGCTGCGAGCGGGACGGTCAAACGCACGCGTTAGCCGTTAGCTCCGCTCGGCTAACGTGGCGCATGTCCTGCGGTGGAGAAGATGGGCGTTGTTGTCGTCGAATCGCCTCGTGCGGTTCGCGCGCGGTTCCGCGACACGCGTCGTGATCGATGTGCCACGCAGAAAAGTTTCGCAGTTAAACGGCAGCGTCGCCCGCCGTTGTTCGGCTAACTGGCTAACAGGCTACACCGAGACAAACGAGTGGCACGCTAACGCGGAAGTGGGGTTGACTGTTTTAGTTTGTTATCTCCGTACGAACTCACATCGCTGCGCTGATGTCACGATCGCAAAAATCGCGAACTGTCCCGAGAGACAAATCACAACTACCGCTACTTTACTGGCACAAACTTTAGCAGCGGCAAGCTAACAGGAAGAGCCGAAGGGAGCATGCGCGGGGTGTGTTACACTGCAGCTTTCCGGAGGAAACAAACCCACCTAGGAACCACAGTCATCATGATTTGATTTATTAACTGTGTGCTTATTTTAATCTGAGCTAAAATATTTGTCTAGATCATCAATAAATTATGTTTAAAAAGATACCAATGATTCAATATAGTTCAATCAATCTATCTTTCTATCTATCTGTCTATCTGTCTGTCTATCTTTTTATCTATCTTTTTATCTATCTATCTATCTGTCTATCTTTATATCTATCTTTTTATCTATCTGTCTCTCTTTTTATCTATCTTTTTATCTATCTGTCTATCTTTATATCTATCT